ACAATAGGATTTGTGGTACTACTATGGTGGTTCATTTTCTTTCTACGTGTGGGTTCTGGTGTAGAGTTAAAAGGTATAATAATTTAAATTTCTTTAATTTAAAATCAGAAAAAACAGTCATTGTATGCTGTGCCTCTTGGATTGCATGTTGGTTTGGGTATGTTGAGTGAATAGCGTGGTGGAAAGATCCATGTCGCATTCAACAAACGAATTTGAAAGGTCTACTAAGTGCCATCAGAACTATGCCAAATAGAATTCATCTTTAAAAATCAGTATAATTCACATCTCTCAAAATACAGAGAAAGGCATTTCCACCTGCAAAGAAAAATTGTTAGTACATTTTAAATTTCATCATTTAAAAATTACTTAGCATACTATCTATGAATTAATATGAAATAACTATTTTGATATTGCCTTACAAACCTTTCCAATTTATATATACTTTAAATGAAATGCTAGAATTGCATTTAATATTTATCAGGAAATAACTGCAGAAGCAAAATACTGTGGTGGAGTATTCAACATCATTAAATAATATTGTAAATAAATAGTGTATTTACATTTTAATAAAAAAAAATACAACTGTATTGAAACAATACTGTAATTAAAATACAGTCTGTACTGTATGAGTTGATTTAAAAATATTTAAGAATATGCATTTTTAATAGAATTCAATTGATTAAAAAAAAAAAAAAAAAAAAATACACAGAATATCGTAAACAGTAACAAGCATGATTAAAATACTGTGGGCCGAAACCTACTAAAAACTGTACTTGCCTTTAAAATTTACTTTATGTGTACCTGCCTGGGAATTGGTGGTGGCCATAAAACCTAAAAATATTAAAATTAAAAATCAAATTAGATAAATGTGTGTTTGTTTTCCTACATTAAAAACTCTAATTAATAGGCCTAGTATAAACCTAGGGCTTTGTGTTAAACAGGCCAAGATTTAATAAATGCCTATTCGTTGTATGCACATCCATATGCTAGGCCTAAAACTGACCCGAAAATGCCCACGCAACGTCCTCAACGATCAATTCCTGGGCGTGTAGTATAGGCCCTCTACAATGCGCAACACCAGCTGCACTATCGCCAGAAAAGAAGGGTACATTAACCTTCATAGAAAAAAAACCAACCGTTACAAAAAATTTTTAATTTGCTAACTTGTTCTTTAGTAATTAAGTATTACATAAATATAAAGTATGTTTGAACAAATGATGGATAACATTATCAACCATTTTAGCCAAAAAACCCAAAATTTGGTCTAAAAAAACATGAAAATTACATGCTTACCTTCGTCGGCTTTCACATCGAATCCTATGATGTATAATTATAAACGATAGGTTCCAGGCTTCTCTCACATGACCAAATTAGGGGTAGGTCATGAATATTCAGCGATATCTTCCAATTTTCAGTATTACTGAATGATAAAACAATGAATATTCAAAGCAGGTGACGTGTTTGGAAGTGGGTTTTAAATATAGCGCACCCTCTATAGTTTTTCGTGCCTCAATATCGGACTTTTTGTCCACTATGAAGAGTTTATAAGTTTTGATTAAATAAAACACAAATATAAATAAATGAATGTCGACCATCCAGGCAAGCTTTCTTACCCTCTTTGAATGTTTTTCCACAGGTTCACAAAGAGCAATGTTTAAACAGGCAATGCGGCACTGGGAAAATTTCACATGTATAACATTTGTTGAGAGAAATGTACGCGAGCATCAGCATTATATATATTTTACTTATAAACCTTGTGGGTAAGTCAGTTTTAATTTTACGAATTTAATTTAATCATGCAAAAGACCCTAGGATCCATAACCTCTAGGCAACAGGGGCTCTATGGGGCTCAGTATACCGGGGTAACCCCCTATTCGTCTCGAAGGCTGTACTGCGTTCTTTAAAGTGCACATGAGTCAATTGTGTACACTGGGCCTAAGGTTTATACTCTTTATCCGAGAAGACTTGTTCCACAACCAGAACTATAGGCGAGCGTGCTGCTCGAATCGTATCTTTTATTCCTTTGCTTTGCTCGTTCTTTTTGTTCTTTTTATCTTGATTGATCAACCATTAATATTGAAATTTGGAAGGAAGTTAAATCTTGCTTTAAATGCGACTGATCAATAAGTAAAAACAAATAATTTATATGAAAAAATAATATGATATTTAAGCTTATGATTTTTGTCAAGGATACATACATAACATGCGCATTTGACTACATTTTTTTGACTCGTCATTGGTATAAGTGTAGATTAGAACATGGTGAAGTGATTGCTATGTGGTGTGGTCTCAGGCTCCAGTGAAACATTTTTTTATATGTTGTACAATTGATTTTTGGAATGACACTGGAGGGGTTTAACGAAAAAAAAAAAAAAAAATAGATGGTTAGTACACCAGTTGTACAATATATGAAAAAAAATTAAAATTACCCTAAAGCCTGCCTTTAATGTCAACAGATGCTTTTTGCGGTATAGTTTAAAGACCATTGAAAATTTAAGACAATTAATTTGTGTTGTTTGCTTTTGCATGTTATTCAATCCATAGAAAATGCACACGCTGCAGTGTGCTCATGTGTCTGATGCTTACGTTTTCTGAATTGTTATCTTGAAATTAGAAAGACACTTAAAAAGGGGAGGTCCTCCCAGATTGTTTTTCACTTACATAATCTTTAGCTGAACCCCTCATGGGAAGACCATCTTACCCACTTAATGCACATGTAGCTTATTGTACATTGGTTCAGAAATACCATAATTTGGTAATAATGGTTTGTCATCATCAAAATTATTAATCAATATTTTAATACTTTTTTTGAGCTTGGATTATATTTTACTGCAGTACTGTACTTGACATTGCCATTATGCATCTAAAAATGTAACACGACCATGATTTTACGAAACTGTACTAAATTTTTTACATGTCGAATTCAATTCTTTGGCGAGCCGGATTTGTCCAACGATCCGCTTTATTGAGAACATGTGCTGTTGAGTGTTGTCCAACTTTCTTTTTAATCTGTATTTTAGACTACAGTATCACCTACTAACCAAGTTATTCCACACTCTGTTAACAAAAAATGACACCCTTCAGATCATTCTTTTGACTTCGTATAAATTTACAAGATCAGTTATTTGTTTACTTTTTAGCAGAGAGTTGCCTTAAGAGTGTGTATGAAATATATCTTCATTTTTAGTCATCATCATATCCCTTAATACTTTAACTTTTAGATGTTGTTCATTTGTTGGCCGACGAGGTAATGGCATCCAAGCGTTATCCATTGGAAAGAATTGTGATAAATTTGGAGTGGTTGTTCATGAGCTAGGACATGTTGTTGGTTTTTGGCACGAGCACACCAGGCCGGACCGCGATAATCACGTAACTATCATGAAACAACACATCATGCCAGGTAAGTAAAGTTTTAAAAAAAAACGAAAAAAAAAACGAAAAAAAAAAAACAACTTTATATTTTACAAAGCGTTGGATTGGTTTGTTTTTGTCATTAATATAATGGTTCTTTGGTGATGTTTAACTAGGAGGAAGAAAGCATAATGGTTTGGATTGTTGAGCTATATCTGACCTGTAAGCTTATATTGAAGCTAATTAGATTGAACAAGTTTCCTTCTTGCTATCCTTGGAGCTGACTACAACAAAGACTTAACCCAATCCATTTGCAGTGATACATTATGAATCACACAGCCACTCTGCACACAATATTATTCAAATTTTTATTATCTTAAAAATTCAAACATTTATTAATCATGTTACAAAACTTGAATTCATGTCGTCTAAAGTAAATCAATAATACAGAATTGATCTTGAAATGAAGGAATTATATTGAGAAGTAAATAAATTACAAATAGAAATTGATATAACCAGATTTTATCAATTTGTAATTTATAAGTTGTCACTCATGTAAAAAAACTTCATTAAATAATTTATATGCATTGATACTGTATGACACAGTATCTTAAACTGGGGATTATTTTTTTTCTCCACATTTTTTAAATAATTTCATCACCTGCAATTCTCCAGTTCTGCTTTGCTGAAAAATTTCAGCATTTTTTATCAGATGCAGATGTAATTGAGACACGAATTAAAATATTGTCTTAAAATTATGTTCATGTCACGCTAGATCCCCTTTCAGTTATAACATTTCAAGAAATAGCGTAAATTTTTATCATTTTACCTTAAACGGTCAAAGAGATACAGTATAACTTGTCATTTAGCAGTTTGGAAGTTCAATTAGAAATACTGTAGTACAAAATAATAAGCCTACTATACCAAAATTAACCTTTATATAAAATTCATCATTTCGCCATAAGAATTTAGCCAAGAAGTTTCATATTGTTTTAGAAGATTTGAAAAAGATTTTCAGCTTCTTTGCAAGGTTCAGACACATTTCTCAGAAAAGATGGTGTTTCATTTTCATAATGAGCTTTAACCATTTCCCTTGTTGGTTTTTGTATAATTCAGACTAGAATGATTTTCTTAAAATAATAACTACAAAATCTCTGTTGCTATTAAATGTGTCCTTATATTTCAAATAATTCTTTCACCTCTTGCGCATTTTTTTTTGTTTTTTATTAAAAAAAAAAAAAATCGTCCAACACGTATGCTTTGTTCTCACTTACAGGCAAAAATAAACATCTAAAATATAATACCACAAGGTATAAAATTGAAATTAAAAACATTTCAAAAAATTATGATACAAATTATTTAAACATTATTACTTAAAATAGATTATTAAATGTATACTAATTACAAATTCCACTTAAAATATTTACAAATTACACTAACGAGAAATAGAATTATTTAAGTGACATTAAAACATATGTAACGAATTTGAAAATAGGTCTATGATGTAAAGAGCAATATGTAGGCCTAGTGGTTAAAACTGATTGTATTGAACCACTGTCAAACTGCTATCACTAAAAATTAGGCCTACAGTACTGGTTATAGCATACTGTGTATGTAAAGCATGCTCCAGGTTCATGTTAAAAAATATGTAACATTTCGGAAGAAAGCAGGTGAGCTGGCGTCCTGCCAAATTCACCACCTGGGGTAGCAGTGAACTGCTGTCGCTGTGAACCCCAGGAGCCCAGGCAAATTTCCTAGTTGCTCAACTAGGAACAATGTCTGCAAAAGTGCATTGGAACTATTATATTAACCTTCATTTACCATTTTGTTGAGTTTTAACAGAGCCTCAGATATGATATTCAACAGGGGCCCGGGCTGCTAGGTAAAAAAAATGTTTAACAATATTAAATAAATGTAAAATACTGTACAACGTATACATTCATCCATTATCATCATAGCGCACAAGGATGGTAATAGAAATATCCATTGTCAGAACAACCGAATTGAGAGCTTGGCATTTTTCATTAGGCCTATAGGCCGTACTTTATCACAGGAAAAATGCAGTTTAATTCCTCCATGTTGAAACTAACCAGGGATGTTTTTGTTTGTCAAATAAATACTGAATTAATCTATTAAACTTTGATTTAATTTTTATGAATCTTTTCAGTTCTACTGTGTGTTTGAATAAAAGGAAAGATAGCTTTTACTCTTCATGTTTCTATACTTTATTATTCCGGACCTGGTAAAAGGGTTTAGAAGACCCCCCGCCACACCAGAGTTCTGTCACTGTACCCCTTTGAGAGCCCTAGACGGCCCCCAGACCTCACCCAATGGGCATTTAGCCACTCTCGCGGCCCTGGAGGTGGTTGTTAAATGGGTTCCACATCTGGGGATCACAGGCTAAAGTGACAAAGAACCAGATGTTGGGATGAGTTGCCAGTACCAGTGTTTTGTGTTTTTGTTAGTTGCACTGTAGTATTTTTACTGTATGTGCTTTGGTATATTTGACTTTGGTATATTTGACGCGCTGCGGTTTGGTTGACAACAAGCATGGCCTTGATGTTCTTTTTCATGATTGATAGACAATTCACCATATCCCACACACAACTATACTATTTAGATATTGGAATATTTTGCTGTGGAATGCCAAATTGCTGTATAGCGAATGAATTGACTGTTTTTATTAGTGGCAATATCCCTTCAAAGTACAGGCATAGGATTGTTCAGGTCAATACACCAGAAGATAATTCTTTACTACAGTATTTTCCAAATAGTGAAGTTATTTTAGTACCAAACTTAAACAGCTTAACCTTATCCAAAGGAAGAGGTAATTAAAAGCAAAGTGTTTTATCCAAGGACGTGTGAAAACACTGGTAGCTAATTTAGAAGCCACAGAATTTGTGCTCTAAAAGTTAATCCATGTTTCCAACCACTTAAAAAAAAGGTAGTGGCTATTATCTATGACAGTTATAATTACTGTAAATTATGATGAAAAAAATTGTCTGATTCTAAAAGTTTGTAAGTTCGTATGTTAACTAAAACAAAGACAGTAATTCCGAAAAGAGACAGAGACAATTTGAGATTTAACGTTTATCTATTTGATCTATTTGATCATTTTCGAAAATACTGATGAGAAAATCTCACCCATCCATATATGTTTTACAGAAGTATAACAGAAAGCAAATAAAAACCGATCAATCAGATTGAAATCAAAGTTTTTCATTAGGCCTATAGGCCGTACTTTATCACAGGAAAAATGCAGTTTAATTCCTCCATGTTGAAACTAACCAGGGATGTTTTTGTTTGTCAAATAAATACTGAATTAATCTATTAAACTTTGATTTAATTTTTATGAATCTTTTCAGTTCTACTGTGTGTTTGAATAAAAGGAAAGATAGCTTTTACTCTTCATGTTTCTATACTTTATTATTCCGGACCTGGTAAAAGGGTTTAGAAGACCCCCCGCCACACCAGAGTTCTGTCACTGTACCCCTTTGAGAGCCCTAGACGGCCCCCAGACCTCACCCAATGGGCATTTAGCCACTCTCGCGGCCCTGGAGGTGGTTGTTAAATGGGTTCCACATCTGGGGATCACAGGCTAAAGTGACAAAGAACCAGATGTTGGGATGAGTTGCCAGTACCAGTGTTTTGTGTTTTTGTTAGTTGCATTTAGCCACTTTAACCACTTAGGTCGATCAATCAGATTGAAATCAAAGTTATAACAAGCCAATTAAAAAGGAGGTGTGTCTTACATTAAGTATATCACTTGTTATTGTGAATAAACAATGGATAATCAACTACTTTACTTGTTATAGCAACTGAACAAAATTTGAGAGTCTTGGGTTCAAATTTGGATATAAACAGTATTTTGGATAAAAGAAAAAGATCAGCTTTAATGTATGACTTGTGGCGCAGTGTGTAAGGGGTTGGAAATGTGATCATAAGATTGGGAGTTTGAGACCGATGCTTGTCACATTGCAAGGCACTTTACGTTTGACTCTCTCCACCCGGCAGTATAAACATGGTACGATGGTATGGTATGGCATTGAACGTATGGGTTGTGTGTGTAAGATGGGTTGTGTGTGTGTAAGATGGTTGTAGGCCTATTTCTTCCATTAAATTGAGACAATTTTTGCTTGAAGATTGTCAATTCCTTTGCCTCTTCGTCTAACTCTGCTGCCGTTCGTTCATCCTATTTCTTCATTTGAACTTAGACAGAAATTTGTTATTCAAGTGCACTCTCTAAGATTATGAAAAACACAAGCCTTCCTTTCTCCACGCTCTTAATTGGTCCATCTCTCTTAGAAACTCCTGCCACACCGAATTTCTTCCATTTTTGGGTCGCTCATTAAGGTTCTTATCATCTTTCTTTCCTATTATGCAATTAAAATTGCTAACGACCTAACTATTGTCCCTTTGTTTATTTCCCCCAGTGCATTGTAAATCAGTAATACAAGTGATTTTGGTTGTGTATGTATTGTTAATGAAGTGGAGCCCTCGATGGCTTTACAAAACAATAAAAATCTTGAATCTTGAATCTAAGACCATAGAGGCTTTTCATGATGTGTTAGCCTATACAAATCGAACTACAGTATTATTATTATTATTATTATTATTATTATTATTATTATTATTATTATTATTATTATTACCCAGTCAGCAGCATGCTGACTGGGTTTTGTTTCTGAGCAGTTTCTTCTTTCTTTCTTTCTTTCTGGCAACATTTTAAAAGACTACTAGTGGCAAATTACTGGACCGATTTTATTAAAACTTGGTCAGTAGGACCGGTGCCACTCCCATTTATGTGTTGTTTACAACTTCGGGTCAAAGGTCACATAAGGGGCATTGGGGTCAAAAAACCAAAAATCACATAAAAGACTACTTCTCTCAAATAACGTAGCACAGTCTTGTCCTTTGCACATATATATTGGCATAAAGGCAGAGTCATAGGGTGTTCAGGGATAAGGGGTAATTTTTATCTTTTTTCTGGAAACATTTCAAAACGCTACTAGTGCCAAACGGTTGTGCTGATTTCAACCAAACCTGGTC